TATATGAAGTACTGATGAGTTACTTTGGATCACTATCAGATATTAGCTAGCAGTGTCATTCTGTTGTGAAAAAGGAAGACTTTATGAGTTCACTGTGTCTTTGGACAAATAGTGCAGTGACCTAGATCATCTTTCAAGACCCCTTCCAGCCTTGGGGGCTGTTTGATAATGGTTGAGATTCTGAGTATCTAGATAATTTTTTGGTGAATATTAACAACTACAGAGACGTGACTACTTTAAACTGGCAAGCAAGCAAAAAGAGAGAGAGACAGTGTGGTATACAGTTTCATTAAAGTCTCTTGGCTTTAGTAATTTAAGGAAGAGAGGATGGCAGAAATGAATTTCAATTATGCAACACTAAAAAGAGTAATCAGGATGGAATTATCCTTTTGCCCAGGTAGAAATTTCCATATCTCTAACTGCACATAAATCTTTCAAACAGAATCAAAATTGTAGCTTTTGATATTATATGTAATTGGAAATGTATCACATGGAATTGTTCTGGATAGTAAGATTTACTGTTTTAAGGATATAGAGTTCTGAGTTGCAAATATAAAATGCTCATGTCTGCAAGACCTTTGCATCACAAATACTATATACACAATGATTTATTTGTATTATTTCAGAGAAGCCAAACTATTCACATGAGTTTTGCAGCAGAATTACTTGAAGAGCAAAAATGTTGCGGTATCTAGTGAAGAGAAAGAGAGAGCAAAAGGAATGCATATACCTTGAATATTAATTTCTACTTTTTTTTATGTATAGCTATTCAGAAAAAAAATCAGTCAAAACGATTTATCATGAAATGAAGCAGCTGTGCTTTATACAAAAGTTGATGTCCTTCATTAAATAACAATGATGTACTTTGTACTCTTAGCAAAGACTTCTGATCTGTGTTTTCCATTCTCAAATGTAAAGATTATATACTTGATTTTGCTAGCATTTGTATTTCGAAGGATAATCAACAGAAATGTTCAGATTTGACAAGTAGTATAGGATTTCAGTAAACATGTCTTCTGTCAGAGAGATATTGGAACCAGATAACTTTAAGGGAAATTATACTGCTTGAAATTCTGGCATTCAAAGAGAATATAAGTATAGATTGAAATTAGAATGGCCATTTAGGGATATTAAATGCAAATATAACACAGGCTCAAAGAAACAATTAAGTTGTGAAAATATGCACAAGTTTAATAAGTGAAAACATAGAACACTTCAGGATGGAATGCTGTATAAACATAAATTTATTATTCCTAAGTTATAGGATCATTAAAAACTTTCAGTTTTCACTAAGCATCTACTTCAGACAAGTCAGAATTTTCAATTAAAATATTCAACAAAATATTCTGACTAACATCAAATTTTAATTTAGGAATAATAAATTTATGTTTATAAACATAAAGGAGGAAAGTATTTTAGTTATTTAAGTATTTTGCATTTGTGTGCCTACTGGATAAATTATTTAAGATGGTCACATCAAAGTGCATTATTTAGATTAATCTAAAATATTTTTTCTGCAATTTCTGTTGATAAAAATTTCTGATATTTTTGTTTATTTCCATTCCATTTCAACTCTAAAAGAGACCAGAACTTGTGATATTCTCTACAAAACAAAATTTTCAAGTCCACTCAAAAAGATTTTTTAAAAATTAATAGTATTAAAATAGGTCTTCATATGAACAAGAGGGATTATTAAATTAAAATACTTATCCTAAAAAGGAAGAAAGAAAAAAAAGAATTAGAGAAATTACATCAGAACTTTATCCTTGATTTTTAAAATTCATAAGGATCTAGCGCAATTTCAAAGGGAAACAAGCAGAATGTGAATTCAGCAAGTACATGTACGTTTGTGAGTAAAATGTAAAACTAGTTTTAAATATATGCTTTTCAAATACCTTTTAAAAATCATGAGGACTCTGCCAGATAGCATTTATATGCCATGTCGTAAAATGGATTTGATGACATCTATATTTCACAGGCTGTTAAAGAATAACAGAATTTTACATTCAGTGACCAACTACAAATCTTTTTTAAAGATACAGGTTAGATCAAGTGTGTTAGAAGGCAAGCACATATTAAAAACCCAAAAGACAAGGCTAATCCGTTTCATGTGAGCAAAGAGGGATGTAGTTTTAGTCCGTGGACAGAAAGCTCTCCAGCAGTGCAGTCTGGTTAATTGCAATGAGAACGGAGGGGAAAAAAAAAAAAAAAAAAGAAAAGAAAAGGGTAAGACAAGAACAGTTTCCAGAGTGCTTTCCAATTTTAGTGCAGTGATCTTATGAAACATATGTGCACCAAAAATACTTGTATTTTCAGTATGAAATAAGTAAACCAATACCAAAACATAATTTGCAAACCAAGTCAGATAGCCAAAACCTTCTTTGAGAAGATGCTTATGCATCTTCTTCCTTGCATTTCTTCCTTGCTTCCCTATCCTGGCTTTCCCTTGTATTAGGGATCCATAGACAGATTTTACCCAGCAGTGAATGTCTGCCAGTATACTCAGAAAAACATTATAAACTCATCATAAGTGCAGTTGAACTCCCGTTAGTTGCAGTAATGGATTAACTTGATCCTCTTATTTATACCTATTGGAATTAGGTGTATAATGCATTCACTAAAACCAAAAGGTCTAGATCCCTAACTTTTCAGTGAGTCCTATGTAATGATCTAACTTCAGAAGATCACATTTTTTAATATTTCTTGATTATCTCTATCTTGATTCTCTTTTAAGTCTTGATAATTCATAAGATATGTCTAGTTGTCTTCGGGAAACAGAGTAACAAAACTACTATTCTAGGCTGCTAGGGTAAACTGTCTTCAAACTTGTGATTAGGTGATATGCCCCATCTAAACTAACAGCTTATCTGCCCAAAACAGCTCTACATATACAGTATGTATACAACATACACTGCATGTACGAAATTACATGTAGGAAATTTTACCCTTACACATGGGTTACCACATCTGTGACCTTTCACACATGTTAGTTTTTCTGACATATAAATGCAGCATTAATGAATAGTTTAGTTGCTTTTTTTTTAATCTTAACTCTGTAGCTCCTATTTTTTAGAGCTCTGAATTGAGCTGGATTTGATGTTCCTGAAGGATGGCAGTGGGAAATCATAATGCTGTATTAACACATTACTTGTCAGGTTGTTTCCTGGAGCAATAGAAGATGTTTCTCCTGCTTTGATAAATCAAGCATGTGTGGCAAGAAGAATGTGATTTTAATCCCTGTTTTCTGCATGGGCATTAGCTCTTTTTTTTTCTTGTCCAGTAAGAAAATTAGACTACAGAATCTTCAGGAAAAAAAATTATAGCGTCTTTTGTGGCAGATTTGGTTAATTTAAGGAAATTAATTCATATAAAAGTTTTAAAATAAAAGTCTAAAATATTTTAAAATGAAGGCTGGAATTTTAAATACAAATCAATTTCCTCTACATGCATACACACCAAGGAATTTTCTGATATTCCTGTTTTTCAGATATATAGTATATGTGAAAGTATTTAAATATTTTAACTATATGCCAGTTTATTCTCCCAAATACAAAATGTTCTGAATGATGGTTCATTTTTTAAGAAACTGCATTTCTTCTTGACTCTTCTTTAGTAAAATAGTAAATTATTAATGATAAGTAGAACTTTTGTGAAGTTATTAAAAATACTGTTTAGATCATATTAAAAGAAATTATGTTTCCAGATTTTATGAGATTTTCACTTGCACTTCATGGTAATTTGAACACTTAAGTACTTAAGATATGGGTGCTCTTGAAAAAAGTGCCTGATAAAGATCCTAGATATATAAGGCACTGCTCAACATTATAATGTTATATCGTCTGGTCATCTTCCCATTGCTAAAATATGTTTACAACAAGCTGAAAAAAAATAAGATTTTAAAAGGTCAATTTTGAAATAAAAAATAGAAGTGGTATCATATTTTTTTACACATACTTTTTGTAGGATAATATGATTCCATTCATATTTTATTAAAGTCAAAGGATTTTTTTTTTCTATTAAAGTTCAGCATCCTCACGTTCTTAAATTAATATAGAAGAGTTTCATTTTGATAGAATTCTCTTCTAGATAGCGTGTCTCATTTATGTAGGGAGAACCCAGGCAGTGAAACAGGATGAAATCTCCCTCATTTTATACTAAAACCACCTTATTCCCTAGACTTATGCAGTGTATTTATTACCAGCAGGTGGGTTTATGAAAGACTGATGTTTATTTTCAGCAGAAAACTCTTAAGTGATGAATTTGTTCTTCATTTTAGCAACAAAGCAAATTCAAATGGACAGAGAGGGTATGATTTTACCATTTTAGTTTTGTTAAGTAGTGCCACTTTGAAGTTAATCTCACAGTTGGCCCCACTTAGCTGTGCTTTGGTCCACATCGTGGGGCAGCTTAAAGCAACTTTTTCATTATATTTTTCCATTTGACACTGCCTGTATCTATTTCAAGGAGCTGCCTCCCCTCCCTGAAAACTGCAGCCACAAATATTTTCTGCTATAGGAACAGTTTTAGTGCTCCTTCCCTCTTGGAGATAGAGCCAACATTAGCAAGCCCACTCTCGCAGCTTCTGAAGCAGCTTTACTGACAGCTGAGAGTCAGGCTGCTAGGTGGGTGAACCCATCTCGGTCACAACAGCTGTGGTCAGAGCTGGGTGCTGAGGGTGCAGTGCTGAAGTCCTTCCAGAGCACCATGTGCTGCTGATCAGTAGCCAGCAGCTGGTAATTGATCCCTCCCACTTGCACAATTTCAGGCTCTTTGTAGCCTCTGAGGGGTATTCCTACATTGATTTAACTTAGCCTATGCCATAACATCATCATTATTAGCTTTAGGTGCGAAATTTCAAAAGATAGAACTGAGGGGAGTGTAAGAAGTTAATTTAGCAGGTGACTGCTAAGGACCATGTCTTGATCTAATCACAGTTCCAGCTGAGGTTTTCTTCTCAAGGATAAAAGCTGGGATTGTTCCTTGCTTTCCTTTCTCTAACTTTCCAGATGGGTTGTAATTTCTAGGCATCAAGCTAAGCTAAAAGGCCCAGGTATGTTATTTTAAGAACCAAGTAGCACCAGACAACAGATTTTGCATGAAAGTCTACTATGTTATATTAAGTATTTGCTATTTATTTACTAACTTTAGCTCTTCTTTTTATTTGAAATTATTATTTCTCTGGAGTCTCTTGTTCGCAATGTTTTAATTAAGGTGGAAATTTTAACCATTTATTTATTTAATGTTCTGAGGGAATAAACTTGAAGCGAGTTTCTGTAGCTTCGCTGGCGGTGTAAGTTAGCTACTGTTTCCAAAATCAACGTATGACCTGTCTGTGCGCAAGAGAGCGCTCTCAGTGGTAATAAGGTCATATTCCATTGATCACTTAATATAAGTTTATGGCTTCTGGTTCAGTTCCAGGTTTCAAGTTTCCTAGATGCTTTTGTAGCATGGTTCCTTAATTTATGAATTACGCAGTCTGTTTGTTAGATTTCTTCTTTTTTTTTTTTTTTTTAAAAAAAACTTATGGAAGTTATGAAATACAGTTTCCTGTTCCTTGGGCAATTTCTATAAACTACTTTTGCTGTAAACTGGTGATTTTGATTTTGGAACCCAAGTGAAGGTGAACCTCTAATTTCCATGAATATTCTCTCTGTTTCAACCAATCTGCATTGATCACATTTCCATCCTTCTTCAGCTACTTTATTTGGGTATAAAACTGGTTATAGAGTCTCTTTCAAAATATCTGCATAAACAATGTTGTACCTCTATAAACTAACTTCTTGTTAAGAGAGGTTCTCTCTTCTTGTTATAAGAGGTTCTCCTCGGCATGAGAACCAATGTTTTCAGCCAGGACTTTTATCAAAAGATTTCGAAACTATTTTGAAATGGCTATGCTTATTTAATAATGTTTTCAGATATACCTGTTTTGTGAGCTTTTGTTTTCGGTTGACACGTATTATTGCCAATGTCACTGGTAATGTTGTAACTAATGTTAATAGAAGCTAGTAGGGCTTCCAGAAAGAATTTGTTTGCAGATGGAATGCATACTCTGCAAAGGGCTTATTTTTATTAATTTCACCTCACTTCTTCATAACGCAGGTCTAGGCAAGTTTATTCTCTTAATATCTTTCTGAATTCTTGCCGTAAAATTCTGCTTAGTGTTTCTTTGTTTTTATAGTGTGGTGGTCTGTGTAAGGAAGAGTTTGTTTATCTTTTCATTCTGCGGTTAGGAAACTTCCTTTTGAAAAAGAAAGAGGAAAAGCATGATGAGGAGGGAAGGAAAGAAGGCATCAAAATAAAGAATGAAAATTCTCTCAGAGCCCCTTTTGGTATCTGTAGTGGTGTGAGGGTGGCTGTGAAGCATAACACAGCACATTGGCACTTCAGATGTCATGCCAAAAGTTACATTAAGTTACAGCATTGCTGCCTGAAAACACATCTGCTTTATATCAAATTTGTAGCATGCTTTTGGCTAAATGCTTCCTTCTCCTCTCTAGCTCCACCTGATGGAAGCACTTCAGCACAAGATCTCCAGATGTGGCTACATTGCAACTCATGTTTATGCATATTCTGTGTTTTCTGAAAGTCATGAGCCAGAGGACGTGTAGTGTTCAGAATATGTCTGTGTACACACTATACACACTCATGAATTAAGGGAATACACTAAGTGTATTAGGGGAATACAGAAAATGTATTAGGGAAAACTTGTAACACAAAGCAATTAACATCATAGACAAGTGGCCAAAGTTTTATTAAGTCTCTTTTTTTCAAGTAACATTTTAAAATTACAAGTAGAAAATACTGTAAAAAATCTGCAATGTAATGTGAGTCATAAGTACAGAGTGTCGGTAATCTGATTTCATTCCTTTAAAGTTACCAAATTTTACAGGGAAAAGCCTGCTGTCTTGTTTGCCTTGTTCTGTCTAAATTTTTGTTTCTTCATTTAAGAAGAGTAAAAGGATAATGAAAAGAAAGTAAATGAAAAATAAAACAGCCGAGAACGGGCCCAAATATTTGATTCTCCTTTTCTGTTCTGGTTTGGAGTGACTTTTTTTCTTTTTCTTTTTTTTTTCCAAAATTCATTCTCTGTTATAGGCTTTTCTCATCTGTTTTTACCTACATAGAGCTGTCCTGTTCTTATATCAGTCGAAAGAATAAGCTTTCAGAATTTCATGCCTGTGGTATCCTAGAAATTGTGTGGGGATATTGGAGGGGAAAAAATAAATCAAGAGATGTACAAACATTGCACTTTACTGAAGAATATCCAGTTGCCTCTGGCTTAGAAAAAATGATGCGCTCAAAGCATCACAGTGCCGCGTCTCCTGTATGACTGCAAAAAGTGTTAGTTTTGTGGCTTGTTTTAGAAAAGGGTAATGACATTTCTTGAAGACAGTTTCTCTTTGCACAGAGCTTAGATCTCTCATATTTAGCATGTTTCCTAAATGAATATCAGCAGATACTTAACTGGTGTTTAAGAAAGGAATGACCAGCTGGCTTACTGTCAGTGGACAGATCCAGGCTGGCTCTGCAAGAGAAGACCCAACTGGGCCAGATGTTTTCCATCATAGCACACTCTCAGTGCTGCTATTACGTCTCAACAAACCCCACACGTCAAGCAGTAATCGTGCCCTGATTTCTGTTCTAATGCACACTGCAGCATGAAATAAGTTGCATTCCATCTTGTTGACGCAGGGTGCTTCAGCTGTTGGTGTGGCAAGTTGTTTCTTCCCTGAAGCTGAACTAAGAAATGTCTGGCTTTATTAGACGGATTATCCTATTACTATTTTCTTGGCAATACCTCACAATAATACTTGTATGGCACTATAATGAAGCACATATCCAGAGTGCTGCAAGTGCATTAAACAAAAAATTCCCAGGCTTGCATAATGTTATTTGGGGACAGAATTCAGGGACAATATTACTTGTTTGGTAGCATACAGTTAACTTCATTTGACTTACCCAACAGTGGAAGAAGCAGTGGCGTAACTGCGATGTTCAGTCCCCAGCCCTCTGGTAAAGGAAATGTGAATCTGTGACTCTACAGCCATCTTCCTTAGGGATGACCACTTATATGCACTTCCTATTTCACTTTGTAATCTGACTTGGGTTAGCTAGACTTGTTCTTGCCGTACCCTGTAGCTTAGAAGTTTGGGAGCAAGCAAACTGCTTGACTTGATCCTTCTTTCCTGCCTTTGGCCTCAAGGTTTTGTGTTTCTTTTCATACAATATCCCATCTTCAAGAGGAATATTACAGAGTATTCTATATTAGCTTAACATATGTAATCTACAGATTTAGGTACTCTCGCGGAAGATAGAAGGTAAAGATTGAGGTTAAAGAAGCACTGAAGTTTCTGTCTGGGTAAATGCTCTAGCTATTTTCTATGTGATTTTGTAAAAGATGTATCCTTCCACATTCTGATTTTTGGATGGATTTCTTGTGTATATCTTTTTTTTTCTTTTTTTTTTTTTTTTGTGTGTGTTCCTTGCATCAGTGTTAGACTGAGTTGTTAAGAAAAGTGGATAGAGAACATGAGCACAGGCATGCTTTATGACTCCCAAATACATCAGACAAGACAGGTACCAAAACATTGTTTGGCCCAATTATAGCCAAGATGGTTAAATATAATAGTAAAAGTTTTAACTCTGAGAAAGGCAAAAACAAAAAAATTCACAGAATTCTTTTACTCTGTCAGGTTCTTATACAGTTATGCTGTATTTTTATGCACTGGTTGCTTGGCATGTGTATCTTGTTTTCTTTACTCTGCCTATGAATATTTATAATTTATTGGAAGATGGAAGTATTTGGGGAACCATCAGTCCCCGAGTCATTTCGTTTATTCCTGCTATACTATTCCGGTTGTATTAAAAACACTGGTAAGATGGAGGTGGTGATTCTTAGTAATTGTGTATTGTCTTATACGAGTTTGAACCATTCTGTATTACAAAGAATATAAGGAGAATTTCATAAGTTTGAGCTTTCTTCTCTCAATGACAGAGTTAGAACTGAATCTTTATAGTGGCAGCCATTTAAGCAACTGTGCATACGTTTTTTTTTTCCCCTATTTAATTTTAAGGATGAAATGTACTGGTAATAGGACTAAAAAGTAACTTATATTTTTATTGTGGAGAGTAGAAACCAAATGTGGCATTTGAGACTGATGACTTTGATAATACCTTGAGAAATCTGAGGAAATGCATTATCTGTTGGAATATGTCTTTTTCCACTGCTGTTGGTACGAGGATAAGGAACATGGAAGTGGAAATGGGCCTTTGTCTTGTAGTTTTTCTTTTCATCCTATCACCTCTGCAGAGGATTCTTCCTTTTCACTCACCTTTCATTTCAGTAAGGGTAGCAATAACTCCTGGAGGGTAGCAATAAGTCCTGGTCTGGTACAGTCTCTCTTACAAGAAGTACAGGAAATTAAAAAAAATAAAGCAAAGCAGAGATTGCTTAAACGCTATTGATCCATTTCAATGCATTTTGCAACTGAACTATGCAACTTCTCCAAGTTGTCTTGCTCCTTCAAATTGTCTTCCTGCTCTGATTTCCCCCTGCTGCCCCAATTCCACCAACTGCTTCCATATCCTCTCTTAAATAGTGTGAAAGTTCGAGACAATTGAATCCAACCGACATAAAAGTTCCAGACTGAACAGTCTACACACATGGATCATATTTCTGGATTAAGGCCTAAGGCTGAAACTGTAGCCAAATATTTCCTGCTTTACGTGCAACCCCATATTGCATGTCTATGTCCTGGAACAGAACAGTGCATTAAGTTTGCAATGTTGCAAATCATGTTTCTCTTTAAAAACTAATTTTCTCCTATGAAATATCCATTGAAAATGGATGTAGCTTTTGATAGATTGCCTGTGATGGAAAATGGATGGTGATAATCCTGTTTGGCTTTATATTCTTTATTTTCCTTTGGGAAAAATGTATGAGACGCTCTACAGTTTCTATTAGTACTATTTCTTATCCAGCACTTCTGTATTGATGGACTTTGAAAGATCGTTACAATACAGAAACAGACTATTCCACTTCATCATTTA